GGTTGGGGGGGGTCAGCAGGGGAAGGGGCTGGCCTTGGAGTCACGGTTCAGATTCAAGAAAGGGAAATCATCTGAGCTTTTAAAAAATTAAATGGAGTCAGTAATTTGATTTCAGAGAGAAGCTGAAAACCTCGTAATGGTAGGAGCAGCTCAATTCCGTGGTGAAAAGGAAAAGCCTTAAATGGGGCTATTAAGCTTTTGCCTGCGATGGATCTGCCCAGAGGAGGAAGGAGGGGGGCTTGTAGGGGGAAAAGTCGTCTTCAAGGTAGGGACCGTTTATCAGCCAAGACAACCCTGATTATTTATTTATTTATTTAGTTCGCGTTCCGGGCGGCGTTGCCGCCGGCCTCCTCTTCTTGGCTGCGTTTCAAATCCCACTTCCAGCCACGGAGGTCGGCCTGGCGAGTGAGGCACCACCCTCGCAGGGAAGCACTGAGTGTGGTTCCGGCCCAGGCCACCATGCCTGGCCACAGCTGGACTTCTGGGCCAGGGAGTCTGGGAGCACAGGGTTACTGTCAATGGGTCCCAAACCCGCTGGGTACCAGCTGCTGCCATAGAAACCACAGGATGCAGAAAGAAGCAGTGGCACTCTCCATCCTCCTCCCCTGGGCTTCCCAGCATGCTTGGGCAGGGCTCTGCACTCAAGGTTTTCAGTCTGCTCCTAACTCACCCCTCAATGGCCCCGCTGGGGAGGAACTAATATCTTCCCCCATTCAATGATAGGGAAACTGAGGCCCAAGGAGACTAGGGCCTTTGTCAAGGTTACAAAATCAAAGACTGGAGACACTGGGCCAGGAGTCCTAGATGCCCATTGGCTGCAGAGCCTGCACCCTGCCTGGATGTCTGTTTTTATTTTATTTATTTTTATTTTATGTGTATGCGTGTTATACCTACAAGTAGGTAAGTGCACCCTTGTCATGCAGGGCCGGCAGAGGACAGAAGAGGCTGTTGGATCCCTGGGACTGTAGTTACGGGCAGTTGTTAGCTGCCATGTGGGTGCTGGGAATCGAACCCCGGGTCTTCTGCAAGAGCAGTCAGTGCTCTTAACCACTGAGCCATCTCTCCAGCCCCCTGCCTGGATGTCTTAATGGTGGGAGCAGGCATACAACTGCTAGACCAGCTCAAGGAGGGCCAAGGGACCTTGTCCTGCTCCAGCCCCCTTCCTGCAGAGAAGTCCTAGCCCACCGCACTATGTCTCCCCTCTCTTTTGTACATACCCTCCTTAAACACTCTCAGACTCACCCCTGAAGTCTCCAAGGAGGCTCAGCACAGGAGTGTCTCAGAGCACCATTCTACTACTATGTACAGAGGTGGGGGCCAACATGGACTCCGATGGTTCCTGCTGGGGCAAGACCCCCTGATCATCAGGGAAGAGGGTTCCAGGCTCACCCAAGCTGGGCAATGTGGTTTCTGCAGGAGCTGGAAACCTTGGGGTGTATGAAGGTAGAGGGCGGGTGGTGTGTGAAGCCTCCCACTCATGCCAACCCTCAGGCCACGTGGGTGCTAACTCTGGGTGTGGGGTCCTGTCTAACTCTTCTTCACAAGGGGCTGCAAGGTTTTTAGAGGCAAAGGGCAGGGGGCTCTTAGGAAATGCTGTCAGGGGAGCAGCTGGGCCCACCCTGTGCATCTCAGGGGGTTCTCGTCCTGAGATATTCAGATGGGCACTGGCCTCTGGCTGCCTCCCTCTTGGGGTGATAAATGTGGTATCCGTCCCCAGCTGGGTGCTAAGCTCCAGCCCCTTCATGACCTGGCTTGGTTCTGAGAATGGCAAGTCCAGGTACCCTTTTGCCCCCTTCCTGGAGGGATCACAGTCACTCTGCGGTGGCCCCTCAGCCTTGACTATGTGGGATATCTCCTGAGACATCCTGGGGGCAGGATGGGAAACTACTCCCTCTTCAGCCAGGCTGCTGATGGAGGGCCTCATGGAGAGCTGGAACTCCTCACTAATATGGGTAGACTCCCCAGGGATGGGCTCCACTGAAGCCACAGTCTCCCTTGACAATGCTGTGAGCAGGAAGGGACTTTTTGATGACTGGGTAGAATCCTGTTCAGCCCTCATAGCTCCTGGACTTTCCGTTAGAGTCAGAGATGGTCCAGATTCCAGGAGCATTTTGGACCCATCAGGCCTCCAGGAAGGCCATCCAGGAGAGGAGATTTCTGAGGACAAATATGTGGTCAATGAAGTAGAAGCCAGGAAGACTGGATGTGACGGTGTGTGGTCAGCCTGGGTAGCTCCCATGGGCTCCAACGGGAGTGTGGCTGAAGTCTGGAGAGGTAGAGGTATGCCTGCTTTCTCTGGGGAAACCTGGGAACCACGTTGATCTTTTATTGCTCTGAGGAAAAGCCAGGCAGTGGACTCCTGGCTTCCTCCTGCAGGTCCTGTTGTTTTCAGGAATGGTGCTGGCTCTGGCTGCAGAGAGAAAGACACATCAGAAACAAGCAGACAACTCTGGCCTCCCTTTGGATCACAGCTCCAAGAGGGATATAGGGACTGTGGCCTCAGGCTGGGCTTTTGGACCTAGCTCTAAGACTCCTATCACCAGGCTGTTGAGTGAGCCTCCCTTTCCCCCTCCCCATTTGGGACTGCAGCTGCTGTCTCTACTGCTGCCTCCTCATCACATCTCAAGGCACAGAGAGGATGAGAGCCAGCAGAATAGATGAAAGGATTCTTCCCTTAGGTGGATGCTCCCTAAGGCCCGGTTTTCCCTGGGAAATGTTCTGAATTTGAGGAAGAGACATGACTAGGGCTCAGAATGTGGCTGTCCTTGAGGAACAGTGGTGAAAGGGAGGACTTGGGCTCAGTTGAGCTCACGGCTGCCTCATGGGAGCCAGACCCTTCCTGGGAACTATGGGCAGAGGCCATAGCTATGAATTTGCCTTGAAGGACTTTTCAGGAAGCAGGTGCACAAAGTCCCGAGAGGGCTCCTCCAGGGCAGCCAGCTGTGTGTCCTGGACCTGGGAAGAGGTAGCATATGGCACTTCTACTGGAGGAGTCTCCTGTCCAGGGGACAGGGGTGATGAAGTAGTCTTTGGTGTGGCTGTTGAGACAGGCAACTCTTCTCTTGAACCTTCCAGAAAAGAAGCAGAGGTCAGCCTTCCTCCTAAGGAAGCAAAATCCTCCTGACATCTGCTATAGGGATCATGAGCAACCACTTTCTCACAGAACGAAAGGTTGGAAGTCATTGCACAGCGCTGGCTTTGGAGCTGCCCTGATAGCTGAATTTCACAGAGCTCTGACCTGTCAAGAATATGTGAGCATGAGATGATTCTTAAAACTGAACTACATGACTGGGAATGTAGCTCAGAAGGTAGATAGCATGCACAAGGCCCTGAGTTCAAGTCCCACCACAGCATAAACCAAAAATGGTGGCACATGCCTGTAATTCCACCAACTCAGAGGTATTGGCAAGAAAATCAGAAGTTCAAGGTCATTCTTAACTATGTAGCAAGTTCAAGGCCAACCTGGGCCAGAGACCCTGCTTCAAAAATAAATAGGGGGCTGAAGAGATGACTTGACTCAGCAGTTAAGAGCACTGGCTCCTCTTGCAGAGGACCCAGGTTCAGTTCCCAGTACCCACATGACAGCTAACAACAGCCCTTAACTCCAGAATGCAGGTAAAACATTCATACACATAAAACAAAAATAAGTAAAATATTTTTAAAAACTTAAACTACGCAAATTTAGGTTTCTGCAAAGACCATCTGACCTCAACTCACAGCCCAAGCTTGGCTGCCACCCGCTGGTTTCATCTTGGAGCCATTTCCTATTTCAAGGTCCCATACACTGGCCCAGTCCCAGAAATCAGTCAGAACCAGGCACTGTTCCTTGCCCACCATGCTCAGGTTAGAACAGCCAAAGTTCTGGGCCAGTCTTGTGTGGGAGTGATGTTCTGTAGATTATAAGACAACAAACAGTATCTCTGGCCTCTAGGCCCCAAATGCTGGTGGTACCCTCCCGTGTGTGACAACTGAAAATTCTCCAGGCATTGCTAAGTGAACAAAAACCACCCTGTTGAGAACCCGTCAGGCTAGAGCTGGCAGCTTCTAATCCATGGGTCTAGGTTAGCTCTTAAATATTCATGGTTCAGCCTAGAAGGTGGTTAGAATGGTATGATTTTGTAAGGACATTTTGTTGTTATTTTGAGATAGGATCTTCATATGTAGCCCAGCCTGGCCTTGAATTCACCACCTGTCCTCCTGTCTCAGCTTCCCAGGTGCTGAGATTATGGGCATGTGTCCACACATCTGGCCTAAACAGTTTATTGGCTTGCTTTGTTTTGTTTCTGATGCTGGAGGTCAAACCCAGGGCCTTGCTCGTGCTGAGCGTGTATCACTGAGCTGTATCTCCAGCTCTTTAAAGCACGGTTGTTTTTTTATTATTTTTGTTTCTTGGTTTGGTATTGGGGGTTCTCCCAGTAGCCCCAGCTGTCCTGGAAGTCACTATGTAGACCAGGCTGGCCTTGAACTCACAGAGATCCACGTGTCTCTGCCTCCCAAGTGCTGGGATTAAAGGCATGTGCCACCATACCCGCTATTTTGTTTTGTTTTTTGAGACAAGGTCTCACTATGTAGCCTTGGCTGGCCTATGAACAAAGCTGGCTTCAAAATCAGAGATACGCCTCTCTCTGTCTCTGATAAAATTAAAGGTGTGTATGCTACCACACATGCTGGGAAATTTGGGGGTTCTTTTTGAAACAGCATCTCACTCTATAGCCCAAGCTGGCCTTGAACTCACTGTTTAGCCCAGGTTAATCCTGCCTGGGAATAGTTCTCTTGCCTCAGCTTCCCGAGAGCTGAGATTACAGGTATGAGCTACTACACCTGGCTCACCAAGTACCTTTTATATAATCAGCTTCTCACAGAAGAATGAGATTTGGCCACTGTGGTCCACCTGCTTAAAAGGCAGGGACCTCTAAGACAGGCGCCCCTCAGAGAAGGGAGGCTTGCCTCTCTGGCAGGGTCTGGTGGCTCCCGCTGCGCTGGAGTCCCCCACTCCCCCTCTCCATCTGTTCTTATACTGCTATTTTATTGCCCTGCCCCTGGGCCCTGGTCATCCTTACCACGCTGGCATTCCCCCCAGCTCCCCTCACTCACTCATTAATTTTTTAAAGATATTTTTATTTGTTATTTTTATTTTATGTGTATGAGTATATTGCCTGCATGTATGTAAGTGTGTCACGCAATACCTGCAGAGGTCAGAAGAGGACATCGGATTCCCTGGAACTGGAGTTACCGACGGTTGTTAGCCACCACCTGGGTGCTTAGAATTGAACCTGAGTCCTCTGCAAGAACAGCCAGTGCTCTTAACCATTGAGCCATTTCTCCAGCCCACTCATGAATTTTTTAATCACATTTATTTATTTGTATATATTGGGGGTGGGGCATACATGTGTCAGGGTGCACACCTGTGGAGGTCAGAGGAAAACTTGTAGGAGTCGGTTCTCTCCTTCCACCTTGTGGGTACTGGAGATTGAACCCAGGTTCTTGGGAAAACACCCTTATCCACTGAGTCATTTTGTCAGTCCTACACTTTAAAAGATGAAGATACGCAGAGCATCATGGAGCACGCCTTTAGTCCAGCACTTGGGAGGCAGAGGCAGGTGGATCTCTGTGAGTTCAAGGCCAGCCTGGTCTACATAGTGAGTTCCAGGCCAGATGGGGCAATAGGGAGACCCTGTCCCAAAAAAAGATGGAAAAAAACAAAAAACAAAAAATGAAGATTCAGGATGGAGAGATGATTCAGCGTTTAAGACCAGACTACTCTTGAGCAGGACTCAGGTTCAGTTCTCAGCCCTGACATGGCAGCTAACAACCATCTGAAACTCTAGTTCCAGAGGATCCAACACCCTCTTCTGGCCTCCACATGGTGCACTAACATACATACAGACAAAACACCCATACACATAAATTAAAATTATGAATATTAAAAAATTTTTCAGTAAGGTGTGGTGGCGTTCATCTTTAATCCCAGCACTTGAGGGGCAGAGACCCATGGATCTCTGTGAGTTCGAGGCCAGCCTGGTCTACATAGCAAGTTCCAGGCCAGCTGGGGCTACAGGGAGACCCTGTCTCAAAAAGACTTAAAAAAAAAAAAAAAAAAGAATTCAAATTTCAAATACATGAAAATAACTTTAGTTCCACCTCCCCAGCTTCCTTCTGGAGTCAGGCAACCCTATCCCCCCGCTGCTCTTCAGATCTACCATTTGAAACAGTTAGGCTGAATCCTACTGGTCTTAACCACTGTTCTGTTTTGTTTTTCATTTTTTGGGAGGGGGACCAGGGAGGAGGGAGATTTTTTTTAATCTATAACCACAGAGTACTTACATAACCCATTGCAACTCACTAGTCACATGTGACAAAAGAAAAAAATGTTCTTTTTCTAAAACAAATTCCTAGTGAAGGGCACTGGCTGCTGTTGAACAGGATCCGTGTTCAGTTCCCAGCACCTACATGGCAACTAACAACTGTCCATAACTCCAGTTCCAGGGGATCCGACGCCCTTTTCTGACCTCTGCTATCACCAGGCTAATACGTAGTGCACTTACATACACTCATACGCGTAAAATACATAAATAAAATAAATACCTAAGTAAAATTTTAAAATTCCTAGTAAAAATTGGATCCAAGAAGCACTTATTAAGTACTTACTAAGTATAACACAGGAAAGTTGGAGAAGAAGGAAAGCTATACAAGACACAGCCTCTGATCTCCAGGCATCCCGACTACAGGGAAAGACAGGAGCACGCAGCAGTAACTATAATAAGAAGAGAAAGATCTAGAAGCTGCAGAGGAAGTACTGAGAAGGTGCACTGGGGAACAGGCAGGGGAGAGATTCATTCCAAATGCTGATATGAAATTAATAAAACCAGAAACAGAACATTATTTGCCTGTGTAAATCTTTCCAGGGAGGCAAAAAAAAAAAATCTAAACTATTTTTATTGCTGTTGCTGATTCTGTATTTTATTCATTATCTCCCTATGAAGAAACTACTCACCTTTCAGACACAGGACAAAGTTCAGCTCATCCCTAGTACCTCCCCCTGAGTCCACCTGCCCTCGGAGAGATCCCCTGGAAATCTCTTATCTCTCCTTGCAGATGCCCGGAGACCATTTGATAGTTTCCCTCCCAAATCTCACATTGCAAGTGCCTGGTGAATCTGTTGGCTAAAGTTCTAACTTTCCCTTTTCAAAATCAATATCATTGCCTCAGGAAACTGTTAAAACAAAAACAGCCGAAATGTGTAAAAACTTTTGAGAAATATTTCCATTTTTAGCAGACTGTTAGAACTCGTCCCGGCCATACCACCCCCTCCCCAACCCATCCTGCCTCTGTCTTTGTTTCTAATTCTGAATTTGGGGCTAGATGTGGTAGGCAGTCCCCTTTTAATCTTTAAATATAGTTCTGAATATAATTACATTTTTATGCAGCACCGAAACATCATATCCTGGTAACAGGGCATTCTTGCACTATTAACATCTGAGTTAAATCTCCTTCGCGTCTGTCTTCTATTGAGGACAGTTAGGAAGTCGGAGATGAAAGTGATCGACATCATTTGTGAATTATGTGCATTTCCTCATGCTGGATTTGAATGGGCTTTGCTCCTGGTGGTTTTGCATGTGTGAATACCAGGTTGTCTAGTAGCCCCAGCTTTCACCCAAAACCCCCTCTGAGACACCGTTGTGCATTGTTTACAGGGCTGCTCCCCTTGGGGGAAGGATACCATGCAGCCTGTAGGGCTTTTTGCCAAGGAGTTTGAGGAACTGAGTGATCTGTGAAACTGGAGCCCATGCAGAGACACATCAAAACGGAAATTGCTCATCCTGTGCCAGGTGCCTTCCTAGTCACCACCTTCTAATCCAGTGCTCATGACAGGCACTGGGATTCTGTTCCAGATGAAAAAACTGAGGCAGGGACTGGGGACATGGCTCAGTGGGTAGAGTACTTGCCTTGATCCCCAGGACCACATAAACTGGCACAATATCTGTCATCCCAACACTTGGGAAACGGAGGCAGAGAATCAGAAGTTCCAGGTCATCCTTAACTACATAGTCAGTTCACGGCCAGCCTGAGCTAAATGAGACCCTGCCTGTCTCAAAAACAAAACAAAATAGCTGGACTTGATAATATACGCCTTTAATCCCAGCACTTGGGAGGCAGTAGCAGGGGGATCTTTGTGAGTTCGAGGCCAGCCTAGTCTACATAGCAAGTTTCAGGCTGGCTGGGGCTACAGGGAGACCCTATCTCAAAAAGACAGGAAAAAAAAAAAAGCCTGGTCCTGGGAGGCAGAGATAGGAGGATCCCTGGTGTTCACTGGCCAGTCAGACTAGCTAAATAGGTGAGCTCTAGGTGCAGTGAGAAACTTTGTCTCAAAAAACAAGTTGAAAAGCAACTAAAGAAGGCATCGACATCAACCTCTGGCCTCCACACACACGTGTACTAGTGCACATACATGTGCATATACAAACATGTACATGTGCGCGCAAGGTCATCCTTAACTACATAGTCAGTTCACGGCCAGCCTGAGCTAAATGAGACCCTGCCTGTCTCAAAAACAAAACAAAATAGCTGGACTTGATAATATACGCCTTTAATCCCAGCACTTGGGAGGCAGTAGCAGCGGGATCTTTGTGAGTTCGAGGCCAGCCTAGTCTACATAGCAAGTTTCAGGCTGGCTGGGGCTACAGGGAGACCCTATCTCAAAAAGACAGGAAAAAAAAAAAAGCCTGGTCCTGGGAGGCAGAGATAGGAGGATCCCTGGTGTTCACTGGCCAGTCAGACTAGCTAAATAGGTGAGCTCTAGGTGCAGTGAGAAACTTTGTCTCAAAAAACAAGTTGAAAAGCAACTAAAGAAGGCATCGACATCAACCTCTGGCCTCCACACACACGTGTACTAGTGCACATACATGTGCATATACAAACATGTACATGTGCGCGCACACACACACACACACAACCTGAGGCTGAGCAAGATGAAGAAACTCACAGAGAGGCAACAGCTGGCTGAGAAGTTCATGCACACTGGCCTCTGCCCCCGGTGACACCACCACTACCACCACCACCACCACCACCACCGTTCACAGCCAGGGACCTTGTCACCATCTAGTCCCTGGACTGTGCTTCATCTCAGGCCAGCTCCAGCCATCGTGTGTGAGTGTCATAGAAGAAAGAACCCCAGAGCAGGGGAAAGAGGGATTGTGTGGCATGCACCTGTCATTAGCAGGCACCTTCTTGAGTTCCTCACCCACACACTGGAAGAAGTTCTCCACCGTCCAGTGCACTGGAGAGATAGTCTCCACAAAGCTCAGGCTTACATCTACCCTGTAGAAAGCTTGCATCCCTGGGGCTTCTCCTTCTTGGCAAGGCTGCTGGGCAACAAGGCATTGGTTGCAAGATGCATTCACGCCCTGTGGCTGTCCTCCCCTGGGGCTACCTGGGCGACAAGGCTGTGTCTCTGGGGCCTAAATACTGAGGCTTCCTCCCAGCCAGCCCCACGCACCTGTTTCCTACAATTTTCATCTCTCTTGTTATCAGCGGCCCAAGTAAAGGGCCGGGGAAGAGCAGGAGGGGATTCGAGCAGGGCGCTGACCTGGAACTTAAGCAGCATTGCTGAGGGGATGCTGATGATCACAAAATCCCTGTCCTCAGTCACCGTGAAGGTGTCGGACTGGTGCACTTGAAGCGATCTGGGGCTCAGGGTCTCTTCAGTGAAGGACCCTCTTTTGACCAGACCCCTTCCCTGCTTGGGAATGTAAACAAAGACTTCTGACCCTGGCCAGGATGACACTGAAAAAGAAAGGACACATCATACAGAAAATGATAAATGATTCACACAGATGAAAAAGAGAAGTGGGGGGACCACCCCCCTGGACCCCCCAAGTCCCCAGAGGAAGCTGCCATTCAAGATCCATGGAGAAGCAGGTACCAGGAGCAGGGTGGCCTGCCTCTGCCAAGCCTGTCTTCAGCCACTGTAACCCAGCTTGGTGCCCGTTCCATTACCAAAGCTGCTCTTAAGAAACACAGCTCATGGCAAGAATTTCGTTGTGTCGGCCCTCTCACTGGGACATTCTGAGCCAGCTCTGCAGTTGCTAAATGAAAGCATTTGTCGCCAAATAAAGAGATTTCAAATGTTACAAACAGGGAAAGAGATGTGTATGGACTCGACCAGGCCATGCCCCATGCCCCAAAACTCCCCAGAGTCTTTGTTCAAAAACTTACTCCAGGATAAAATTCTATACAAACCTGAAGTGTTAGTCATATCTGATCCACACACACAGGATGAAGCCTTTGATCCACCTAACTTTGCATACAGAGTCTTCAGAATTTAAATTCCCTAGAGGTCAGCAGTGGGCTTATATATCACAGAAGGTGCAGGGAAGGCTGTCTCACCCAAGCAAGATCACTAAGCCCAGGCCCTCCCCCATCTTTGTCCTTAGAGTCCCTGAAGTCTGTCTTAGGGCTCCCCAGGGGTTCCCAGACCCCAGGTCTGAGCCCTCAGTAGATCATTTCACCACTCAGACTGTTCCCACACACCTTCCAACAATGGCAAACTTCTCTCTGTGCCAAGTATCTCAGAAGTTCTCAGCCAAGGTTGAGACTGAGGAGAGGTGGAGTGGGCAGAGAGGACAAGGTACCAGGGAGAGGAGGGGACGACAGGAGCAACAGACAGTGCTGAAGTCAGGGAGGTTGGCATGAGGGGCACTCCTGGGTCTTACCCGGTGGACACACAGCCTCAAAGGAGTATGCGTAGATGCCACTCACCAGCCAGAGCGGGAGGAGCTCCAGGCAGGTGTTCTCCATCTGGGGAGGCAGGAAGGTCCCCACTGTGGCCTCCAAACTTCTCCTTCCAGAGGCATATCCTCTCCACAAGTAACCCCATACCCTCCCACACTTTCTGCCTCATCTCTGGACAAAGCCCCAAGAGTCTATCCAGGCCAGGGCCTACTGCTCCAGTGCAACCAGGAAATATTATTTAGCCGGGATATTTTTAGCAGGAAGCAAGCTCGGAGCAAATGTCATGTGAGCCGTCTTCTCTTACACGGCAACTTTGGGCTATTTAAAGAGATGGTAATTACGCTCCTGCCACAGTGATCAGAACGCGCTGAATAGATGATTGCTGTAGCCCCCTCATCTGCCGAGCGGAGCACTTTACACTAATGGGGCCCAATTTTCAAAGCCGCCTTCCTAAATCTGTCCAGTCTCACAGGTGGACACGTGAGTTGGCACCGCAGGGGTAGCAAAGTGCTCCTCTGGGTGCCAGGCTCAGAGGCCCACTCCCCAAAGCTGGCAGGGCCTGCCACCCACCACTGACCTCCTGCCTCTGAAGAAGGTCTTGTCTCGAGCTTTGGATGGTGACTGTGGTGGCTCCAATGTCCACATCCAATCCCATCAGGCTGGCATCCTCCAGAGAAGCCACCAGCTCCCCTCGAAGGGACAGCAGCCACAAGGTCTGAAGAGATAAGGCACAGTCACAACCCATCTGACCAGGAAGAAATGGTCCCACTCAGGGTCAAGGAGCATGGTACTTGGGGCGGGGCAGAGGCCCTCAAGAGGATGATAAGACCGTGGAGAGAGGATGATGGGCTGGCCAAGGAGCAGGACAGCAGTTACTTAAGGACATTGGTACGTTTATATTTCAGAGGAGCAGACCTCTTCTGGGAGTACCTGGAGCACAGCAGATGCACAGTGTGTGGATAATGGGTGCAAAGAGCAAACTGAGCCGCTCAGCCTGTATACTGCTCAGGCCAGGCAGAACTGGCATCCTGTTGTCCTGGGCTCTCCTTACCACCCTTTAGTGGGGCACTGGCAATAGGGGTTTTGAATAAAGATGGGTGCGTGGTGATGTAAGAGGGGCAGAGAGGAACCCCACCCAATCCTGAAACTGTTAGGACTCTAGGACTGAGAGGCATGCACAGACTCCAAAGGTTCAAAGGGCAGCGAAGTAGAGAGGGTCCTGCCCAGTGGCTGTGGAAACCCCTAGAACCAGCAGAAGGAAAAGTGGGAGCCAGGTATAATGACTCACACCTATAATCCTAGCACTTGAGAGGATGAGGCAGGAGGATTTCCATGAGTTCAATGGCAGCCTAGGCCACATAGCAAGATCTTGTCTCAAAACAATAGCAGGGTACAGGGGTGCGCTCCTTTAATCCTAGCACTTGGGAGGCAGAGGCAGATGGATCAGAAGTTCAGTGTCACCCTCAGCTATTTAGTGAGCTCACAACAGCCAGACCCTGTCTCAAAAGAAGGGGTCCAGACATGGTGGAACAGGCCTTTAATCCTAGCACTCAGGAAGCAGAGGCAGTGGACTCTATGAGTTCAAGGTCACCCTGGTCTACATAGTGAGTTCCAGGTCAGTCAGGGCGACACAGTGAAAGACTATCTCAAAAAAGAAATTTAGCCGGGTGTGGTGGCACACACCTTTGATCCCAGCACTTGGGAGGCAGAGTTCAGGGCCACCCTGGTCTACATAGTGAGTTCCAGGCCAGCTGGGGCTACAGGGAAACCCTGTCTCAAAAAGACCGAAA